TTACGGTTCTTTTGCATGAAATACATATTTTCGGGAGCTCCTGATGTTTTATATCTGACATATCTAGTCAGGTGCGTAGGTACCTGGACTTCCATCTGTATGATTAGGGCACAGGCTCTGTGCTGGTTTCTGACAAAATGAGGAAGGAAGGAGGGGGGCGGCTGTTTACAAACTACACCCAAAATGGATATTAGAGGGTGGTCGCATTTATTGTAAATTTAGTATGCAGTACCATTATTGAAGTCATAATAGAGGAACTCGGAACTCGGTGGGAAATGGAAAAAAAGTCCGGATAAAAGGAGTCTAGATGATTAAAAAAATATAAATATTATTGAAATCGCCGTTTTCAAAAAATGACAAAGAATATCCAGTAACACTAGGTAAAATGCTTAATATGTAGATTTAGTCAGAGCTAAAAGCGAAGCTCCCGTTTATGCATTTTGAATTTACCTAAGACAATGGACTTTAAACCGTTGAAAAGAAATTCACAAATCTAAACTTAACTTTAGGGGAGAACTATGTGACTGAAAACCATAAACATGAGCCTGCAATCAATTAAAAGCTGAAAACAAGTCAGCGGAAAACTTCACAAACACGTGGTCTCGATGAGTTAGCACCGGAGCCCGCAATAAGGTCATGTGACTCTGGTAAGCGGATACCCTCTTTTGACAGCTGTCAGTTGACTATAGATGTCTATTACCACGTTAAACACAGACCCCCGGAAGAGATCATAATAGGACCAAAGGTTACAGGCTTCCACACTTGCTAGAAAGTTTGACATTTCACATTGATGTCCCTGTGGTGCGGACGTACGTAAAGTCACGTGATTACCAAAATTTCTTGGATGATAGATTACCAAATTTTCTTAGGTATGGGGCTGCGCTACTAGATGGAAATTCAGTGCCATGGTTTCAACGGTTTCAACGATGAAATGCATGCACTTTATCGTTTACAACGCATGTAAGAGCATCTTTTGCTCTTTGAATAAGCAGAATCCATTTCAAGACCGGCATTTTTGATAACGTGCTTGTCATAGAAAACTTATAACCCCGGATCTTCACGATAACTTATTATTATTCTTGAAAAATCTGGCACCAGAGGAAAAAGTCCGGATAATTAAGAAGTCCGGTCAAACGAGGTCGCAATAATCGAGATTCCACACCAGAGCCGATGACATTGCCCTATAACAAACATGGAATTTCTTCACCACACGAATCATAAACTGCATCAAAGGATTGTTCTCACTTAAATGCATTTTTCTTGGTTTTATTGAACAAGGATTAGCATATATTTATTAGTGTATATATAGGATTATATATTTTCTGAACTGGTTAGAATAATTTTTTTAGCGAGTGACCGTTAATTAACGGTCACTCGCTAAAATTGTCTGATGACTGTGGTCACCTTAAGGCCCGTAGGAAATGTAGCTGTAGCAATAAAGCGATGTAAAACCTCTGAGGCCGGGAACTATCTTCCAATTGCATTAGGATTATATAAATATATATAGTTTTAGAGAAACTTTAGAGAAAATGATTTACAAATATACCGGCTTTCCTGTTGTGCCGATTAGAAACCAAAAGAAGCACACTTGACTTCGTTTTCGTTATTAGACTGCTGTCGCGGTACAACACAGAGTCAGTATTTAAAGACAGAAAATTCAGTAAATCACAAAATGAGTTCTCCAATACTAAACTAACTACAGTTTTTATGACATGTTACTGTTTGGCGACGTTATAAATGAAGAGCACCACTCAAGCATTCTGTGGCATGTTGTCTATGCTGAAATTTTGTTTGTTTGTTTTTTTTTTTCCCAACACATCACGTTAATAAGTTCTAGAGCAAAAGATAATAATAATAAAATAAAAATAATAATATAAAAGGCCGGTACATACAATGAAAATCAAGTTAGGCGAAGTTTCTTTTAATACCAATTTAATTTTCATAAAAAATTCAACTCTGACGTATTAACTGACTAGTTTTACTCGTCGAAATTTAGCCTTTTACGGGAACTTAGTCCAACTTCAGCATTTCCGTTGTACCAGCCTTGCATATGTAAGTTAGTAAGCGTATGACAGGAGACATAATGGAGAACTGATAGCGTTGTTGCCGTCGAAAACTGAATATACCGACGCATGAATAAAAAGCGATAAATCAGATCTTACTTACATTTCTCTCTTGAAAATGAGTCTTTCCTCTTAATGATACAAAACAGCCTAGGGAAAAGTGATCAGTTCAAAATATGAACACGTGCCAAGAGAAATAGACATTAAATCAAAGATGATTATTACTCGTATGGACCGTAAGATCAGGACTGCGCACCAAGGCTAAAACCCTGTGACAACACGGCGTAAACTATAAAAACAGAACACCGCAACCAACCAGGAAATTTTCCTTTTCACAAGATCACGTCATTCTACTAACTTGGAGGTTCAGGATTCGTTGAAAAAGAAAAAAAAAACGAATTGCTGGCAGTTTAAAAAAAGCTGAGAAAGCGAGACGATGAAATATTGCAAAGGCCTGTCCAAAACTGTACTGTACTGCGCGATCATGAGATCATGTATTCATCATTTTATCTTCATGCATCTTTCCCGGGTACATTACGAACCAATTTAACAACCAGTTTCTATTTGGCTTATTAACTCAATTGGTTAGCGCGCTGCATCGGTATCGCAGAGGCCAGGGTTCCAATCCCAACGCCTGAAATTGTTCAGGCTTCTTCGCTTCTTCGCAACTATCTACATAAGTTGCGTAATTTACTGTGATGATCTCCTCTGCATTTATAAGATCATTACTGTTATTATGCCTAATAGTATTGATTGAACAAACAATGCAACTGATATTAAGAGTCGTGATTTCGGATAAGCAGTACTAACCAGGGACCGCGGAGGGGGAGGGGCTGGTAGGGCCGCGGCCCCACCACTTTTTTGCGCCCCCGCCCCCACTTTTTGCGCTAAAAAGAAAAATAATTAAAATTAAAAAAAGACTTGAAACAAGTTTTTTCCGTCTATATTCCGCTATATTCTATGTATTTTCTTTAATTTCAAACGCCAGGCATTTTGTGGGGCTCCTGTGCTTTTCGCGGTAATTGTGCCCTGGGGCCGACTTGCCCCTTGATCAAACGCCATGCCTTGGCAATCGCACCGGCCACCCCTTCTCTTCGTTCGGCAGCGTGTTTTGTACTTCCAGCTCCGCCAGAGTTTTTTATCAGTTTTATCAGACGAAATGAAGATTATTACTAGCTTTTTCAAGCCAAACAAAGGTGAGTAGTTGTTTTGAGTTGATAAAAGTTTTATGTTTTGTCTTTCTCCTTTCGAATCAATGAAATATTCGATGGCAAGAAGAATTACATTACTTGAACAGTGAACGGCCATAGGGCTATTGCATTTAAAATCCGTACCCCCCGGTTGAGGACTTACCTTTTCATCTTACCCCTTAAGATTGGCTAAAATTGCATTCACCCCTGAAGACTTCCGTAAAACATGGGTTTACCCCTGAAGAATTGGGTCATACCCCTGAAGAATTTGGGTTTACCCCTGAAGAATTTTGTGAAAATTAAGGCTTCACCCCCAAAGAATTCCATATTTGTTTACTCTATATCTACCCCTAAAGAAATCCTCAACTTACCCCTGGAAGAATTCCATGGTTCCTCAACCGGGGGGGTACGGATATTAAATGCAATAGCCCATAGTTAGAAATTTTTCGATTTTCAATATGAAAAAATTATTTTCAATTGTCAGCCCTCCCACTTTTCATCTTGCTCCGCGGTCCCTGCTAACATTACCAATTTTTCGTTCTCCCCTTTATCCTCTCTTGTCGTTCTGATTCGCCTTTTGTAAGTGAGTCTAGATTCCGGAATCAAGGAAATTTTTGCTTGTGGAATCTGGAATCCTGGGCTTTGGAATCCCCTTAATACAGCTATAGGAATCCGGAATCCCACTAAAGATTGAACTAGAATCCAAGTTCCACCGAAAAAAGAATCTGGAATCCAGTATTAACTTACTTGTTTCTAATTTCCCAGAAAACGACGGCCATTTTGCCACAGTAGCGCTTTCCTCGCCTCCCTCCGCTTTTGCCAAGCACACGCACACAACCATATGGCTAAACACTACTTTGAAATGCCACTCCCGAGCCAAAATTCTCTCCAATGTAGTCAAAGTATATATCAAAAGCAGGGGTTTCAGTAAGCAGCGACGACCGACGAAACGCGTCGGCTACATTGCTCAGAGAAGACGGCTACTTTTTTCTCCGAAGAAGAAGCAACTGGTTTGAATAATGCCATGGACAAAAATACAATTTGTTCACGCGGAAATGTATGTAACTTTAATAGTAAAATTATTATTGTTCATTGCTTGCAGGAGTTAATTGTGTGGCTAATAAATCAAAATTTGACTAAAACCCAAATCTTCTTGAATAGAAAACTCGCTCTTTTATACTCAGACGCTGGAAATTGCTTATCAGAGCTTTGCAATAATTTTAAAATTTTCTGAGGGAACATGCCCCCAGAAATCCCTTGAAAACGTGGACTGTTGATACAGTCGGTTAACATATTCAAATCTGCTGGCTACTTAGCCTGAATTTCATCCGATTACTTCGAGTCGTTATTACTCCCTCAGTTGTTGAGAGGAGAAAACGACTCGAAGCAATCGGATGAATTTCAGGCTACTGGCTACTTCAATTCTTATTGAAACCCTTGCTAAAGAAAGGAAATTTCTCGTCTTTCCTTATTCTTAATACACCTAACTACACCTACTACACTACTACACCTACTATACGTTTAAGAAAAAGCAAAACAAAAAATGCGACCATTTTTCAACGGAAAAGGTCCAAAGTTAGTTAGTTTTCTCAAGTGTCGACCGCAGTCAACCGTTTTGAACAATATACCGGAAGTAAAAGGAAGCGGGAAAATCGAAAACGAGATTCCCAGGAAACCAACAACAAAGCATTCTGATTGGCTGGTCCGCATGCAAATGTTTTTCACCATGCAATGCGGGGGAAGTTTG